CTTTTGAAACGTACAGTGGTGGACCGCCAAGCATCCAGATGGTGTGGATGGTATCGGGACGTTTGCCGCGTAGTGCGTTCACGAAATTTGGCGGCTGGGATTAATCCGAACAATTCCTCAGAGCACTCTCCATGGTATATGCGAAAGAAAATGCAAAGGGATGCAACATCTCTTCGCAGTGCCAGAGAATCGAGCCGATCGGAAAGCACTCGGTCGTCGACGATTCGAGCCGCTCTGCGCTGGATGTGGTCAAGTGGAAGGAGCTGGTACTGGGGAGCCCCAGCCCAGAGATGGGAACAGTATTCCATGTGCGGCCGAACCTGCGCCTTGTATAGTTGCAGGCGGTGTGCCGGCATGAAATACTGTCCCGCTCTGCTGAGCACGCCAAGCTTTTTAGAGGCCAATTTGGCCTTCCCTTCCAAGTGACCACGAAACTGCACGTCACTCGATATGTCGACGCCGAGGATTCCGATACTGGCTGAGGCAACAAGGGGAGTGCCTTGAAACTGAGGGGATACGACAAAGGGGTACTTTTTAGCGGTTAACGCGCAAACTTGTGTCTTCTGGGGGTTAAACTGGACTAGATTTAGTCGCCCCCAATCCGAGACTCTGTCCAGCAGAGACTCGACTTCAGACACAAGTTTGTCCCGGCACTCGGAGACGTTTTCCCGAGAAATATTGGCTCGGCCGGTGTAAAGAGCATCACCAGTGCTGTCATCTGCATAGCAATGAATGTTACGGGTCTGCAACATATCATTGATATGCAGAAGAAACAGCGTTGGCGATAGCACGCAGCCCTGTGGAACACCAGCATTAATAGGCTTGCAATCGGAGCTTGCACCGTCTACAACGACCTTGATGCTCCGATCTGCAAGAAAACTGGTGATCCAATCGCACAATTTCTCGGGAAGCCCATAGGAAGGGAGCTTCGAAAGAAGCGCTTTGTGCCAAACCCGATCGAAGGCCTTCGCAATGTCCAAACTAACGGCCAATGCCTCCCCCTTGGACTTTACTGCCTCCGCCCATCTGTGAGTTAGGTAGACCAGAAGATCACCAGCTGACCTACCACGGCGAAAACCGTATTGGCGGTCACTAATCAGCTGGTGATCCTCAAGGTACCTCATGAGCTGGCAGTTTACAATGGACTCCATTGTTTTGGAGAACAAGGAGGTGATGGCGATAGGCCGGTAGTTGGACGGGTCTGAGCGGTCGCCTTTTTTAGGGATCGGGTGGACGAAAGCCGTCTTCCATGATTGGGACTACGAATAGGGAGTAGGAATACCGGAAAAAACGCGTTAAAACCGGTGCCAACTCTGGAGCACACGTCCTCAGCACAATTGGGGGGATTCCGTCAGGCCCACTCGACTTGTGGATGTCCAGGGAGAGGAGTGCTTTGCGAACCGAGCGCTGAGTGAACTGCACTTCCGGCATGGAGCACTCACACCGCGGGATGGTCGGCGGCGTACTCCCCCCCGTCATCGAGAGTCGAGTTAGACGCAAAGAAAGAGCCTAGAAGATCGGCTTTCTCCTTTGCGGTGTGGGCCAGTGAGTCGTCCTCCCTGTGCAGAGATGGAAGAGATGGCTGACAGAAATTCCCCTGGACAGCCTTGGCGAGAGACCAGAATGTACGGGTTCCAGAAGGAAGACGAACTAGTTTCTCGCCAATTCTGCCTATGTGCTCTGACTTTGCCTTGGCAATGACTCTTTTGAAGGACCTAGAGGCGGAATTATACTTCTTTTTTAGAGCGCTGGTGTTTACATCCCTGGACGCTGATGCGTCAGCCCAGGCCTGGTAGCACTCCTGCTTATAGCATGATGCTATTTTACAGGAGCGACCAAACCATGGCTGAGATTTGCCTCCAATGGGCACCACAGAGGAAGGAATAAAAAGTTCCATACCCTGAAGTACCACATCAGCGACAGAATCCGCAACAACGTTGGGATCGTCCGGCGAGAAGCAAACCCGCCCCCAAGGGTAGGATGCAAAGAAAGACCGCATCCCATCCCAATCGGCTGACCTATAGTGCCAAACACGGCGGCAGCCTGCAGAATGCAACCGCGATTTCAGCGTGAGTGGCACCACACTCCGGACAAGACAATGGTCCGAGGAGCCTAAAGGGGCGTCGACGGAAATCTGATATCCGTCCGGGTGAGAGGTCAGCAGAAGGTCCAACAGGGAAGGTGCATGATCCTCCACATCTGGAGTCCGCGTAGGCGAAGTAACCAGTTGTGTCAGACCATATGACAAGGCAAAATCATGAACAGATCTCCCCGCATGATCGGTTAAACGTGAACCGAGCCATTCGGCGTGATGGGCGTTAAAGTCGCCGAGGATCACGATCTCTGCGGAGGGGATCTGCTGTAGCAACGAATCTGCAGCCATTTGGACGTGGTCGAAGAGTCGGTCTGTTTCGGCATTACCGCTGTGGGACCTATAGAGGCACCCGTAGATGCGCGGATGGTCGTCGCTGTCTACGCGTAGCCAAAGGATGGACAGGTCCGAACCTTCAAGTCTGCCGAGGCGTCGAGAACAGATGTCCTCTCTGACGTAAACGCAAACTCCAGCCCGAGGCACAAAGGAGTGTTCCAGTTTGTACCCCGGGTAGGAGAGATACGAGACATCAGCCGGAGAGGACACCTGCGTCTCGGTCAGAAAGAGCAGAGCCGGTCTCGCCGTCTCGAGATGGTAGTGGACGGCGTTTAGGTTGGAGTGAAGTCCCCTGATATTGCAGAAATTCACGGACAGCGTGGCAGGGGTCGCCTTGGTCTTGTTGCTCCGTTTGCCCCGAGCAGTTTTAGTCTTGAGCGGAATTTTGCCCCCCCCCCCCAGAATACGCGGGGGCGGCCTGAGCACCCACGCTCAGAAGTGGAAAAACATGGTCGTGGATGCTCAGCGAGGGATTCTCCAGGGGTGCTGGTACCCTCCTGGGGTAGTCTATCATTAAATTCCGCTACCATGTTGATGGGGGGGGGGGGATTTGGGCCTCCGGCCACCTGCACTCACCAGACGAAACGCGGAAGCAGAGCTTCCACTTCACGCCGGTATTCTGTGAGGTCGTGGTACCACCCCGGTTTGAGCCGGCCCATACGTGCGACAGCAAAGCTGCCGCGTGGCTCTACCGCTTCATAGGGGGAGATATTTCTTATAGCTTCAACGCTTTGAAGGCTGTTTTGCAACTGCATTTTCTATTCGTTTGAGCTGTTGCCAGTAAGATGCTGCTTATAGTCTCGTTTCAGTTTCACTCTGTCGCCTCTGACAACACCCACGGTACGATATGGGGTAGTGGATCATTCTCCTACGCCGTATATGCACGACTACTTTCGCAATACAATTTATTATAAGTATACTAAGTGGTTATGTTATTAAAATTTCTCACTGTACAATGTACAATCCACTAATGATTTCGAACAACTGCTTGTGAATATTCAACGAATATGTATAAATGTCACTTCTGCTATAAACATGCTCAACATGTTTTTAAACGTTGAATCTTGAATGCAGTTACAGACCTCTCAGATATTGTCTGTCTCTGTGAACTAAACCACTCCAATTCCATTCCTTTGGTATGATTCCTAGGGTATTGATCAGTTAATTGGTCCACATGTCTCATCTTTTTCGTTATTGATATATTTATCGCAGCCTTTTATGTTAATGCCAATGCGCAGAAAGTAAATAGTAAAAAGTAGCTATCAACATACCCGTTGTTACGGGGCAAATATTAATTTAATTTGTTTTCAAAACGAGCAGTTTTCAACGGATAATTACGTCGAATAATGTAAATAAATTCTTTAGTAATTGTCGCAATTATTTCACGTACAACCATCGCACGATAGTGCTTAATGTGGGAACTAAATTCAAACACGCACGCTGAGTGTGACAGGTTGACGAGATGATGATTATATTGCAGACTGAGCATTTTAATTGTGAAGTCATTAAGACATTTATTATACGTAATTTGCAGGCAGAGCTTAACGGATTTACGATATATGGGTAATTATGTCTAACGCACCGCGTTAGGCAAAATAACGTGCAAATACTCGTATCGAATAAGAATTGTGAAGAAATTAACGCTATACGTAATGTTGTTTGGCGAGCTGTTGACTGTGGTAGATTTCAGCGCGTGTGGCGTAAGACACGTGGGAGCATCAACTATCCGCGGGTGCGGGTAACAACCTCCGACAGTGCTCTCTTCGCGGGAAGGCAGCGGTCGTCGACCGACGCTCGACATGCTCGCCAGGTCTAATTAGTGTTAGCCGCATAGGTGCGAAGTATGTATAGCGAGTCCCCATTATGGGCCTCTCTAGCCCGCATGCTACAGTCATTAGCCAAGCGGTTGCTAAAAATGCCCCACATTACGCACCACCTGAGCGCATGCGCGATAATCGCTCCACTTTGTTATTGCGTTCAATGTCAACGTATCGGCTAATTTTATCACGATTCGTATACACTACGAAACTATCTTGTTGGATGAGGCCAAAAGTCTGTTTGTTTTGATTCCTCTCGGCCCTGAATAATGTCAAGCGCTGCTAACGGATAAATAAATGTATGTGTATCCAGATCGGTACTTATTTCAAATTTCAGTTAATTTACTCACATACGCATATTGTAAATTATTTTTAAACTAGCTCTTACGCAATCTATGACGTTATGGAAATAACTTTAATTGATTAATCCTTGAAATAACTGGATTTGATCATCATTACAATTTAAACAAGCCTTGTCAATTATATTATTTTAATGTCACGAATCACGATATAATATTAACATCTCACTGACTGAATTTGCTTTAAAGTGTTTATTCCGATTTTAGGAATCCGCATACCGTGTGTTATATATAGAAACATTTAATTTAACAACCTTATATTGGTTTAATAAAATTGCAGCGTAGGTATTTCCTACTTATGAAATTTTATCTATCATACTGCATTTATGTTTCGACGTGTACATTTCTTTTACGTGGTGACGCGTATTCAGACTGGTAATAAGGAGACCAGAAAGACTAGTACTTAAATGAGTTGAAATTTGCACTCCCATTGTAATTAAAGTCACAATAAGCGAAGATAAGGTTTTGAATGTGGGAATGACGATAACGTTTGGCGGTTTGAGGTGATTGCGTGGCGGTGTCGGCGGCTGGCGCGTGACGCGGCTCAATGCGCGAATGCTTTTCGCCGCTATTTCCGCAACAAGTGTTGTTCTGCCGAGAGGCCCGCGCGGGTGAGCGAACGTGCACGCGGCGCACCAACCCAACACCCTCGCGCTTTCGCCGCCCTCGCGCCCTCGTCGCCATCACCGCCATCACCGTCCACGCTTCCTCACCGCTATCACCGTCCACCACCACTGCACCACTGATTTTAGAACTGGTAAATGTTAATGTTATTAGTATATTCATAAGTCAATTGATAGATTTGCCATATTGACACTGAAGACACTTCTTTTTGCAGTTTTATAAATATGAAAGTTTGTATGTTTAAATGTGTGTCGCTGAAACACAAACGGATTTAATTAAAGTTTGGCAGGTAGGTGGAGAATGCCATGGAATTGAGAGGATTTGTCCTAGTTATGTATCATCCTTCATGATACATTTTTTCGTGTACATATACTTACATTTATTATTACTTTATTTATCCAGCAACAAATTTTACTACAGTTTAATGTCAATAAGCTTTAAACAGGTTTTGTTCGTAGTTCTTTTATTAAACTGTATGACAGTAAAACATTGTTAGTGCAGCATCATTATTAGTGCGAAAGTATTGGCTTTAACTTACTAACCCGCCTAATCAGTGCAGGGAGTATAAAAAAACCTATTATCGTATTTTTAGGCATGGATTCAAAAAGACTATCTTAAGAATAAAATCTATATTAAGATTATATCTAACACATTCTGTCTTGCAAAAACAAAACAAGCCGTCATAAAAAGAAAGAAGAACAAAAATGTTTTATTAATACATCGCATATTACAGTTAATGTCATGTAAGACGTGTTATCGTACCTACAAGTGCAAATTGCACAGGAACGTAAAGAATTTATCGATCACAGTATGCACGCAATTGTTTTGCAATGTGTGTGCATGTTTATTGGATCCATTTTGTACGAGCTTCGTGCAAATGATGTTTCAATTAATGCGACGGCTCATCGCTTATTATGATCACATACTTTAACAACATAATTCAACATAATTGAAACATTAGCGGTCCATGTGAAATCTTAAGCCTAGCTTTATTTACTAAAAACTAAGGAGAAATGTCGATGAATGCCATCTGGTGGAGATTAAATAATTATAAAATTTTTGTATGAGATCTCTTAAAGCATAAACATATGTATGATAAATAATTTAAGTTTGTTTAAAATGAATAGGCGGTGAGTGCATGAATAATGAGATACTTAATTTTATGCATTCTTTATAAAATAGGTACATATTAATTTGTAAACTTTGTATAACCCAACTTTATCAATTACACATAAATAGAGGTTACATAATTTGAAAAAGAACTTAGGTACTTTTATTTCAGTGTTTCATTTGTTTTGTTTTTTTTTTTCATTATGGGCTAATTTATTAATTAAATTTTGATGTGTTTTTGCAAATTAAGGGGATATAGTAAGTCAGCTCAAATTCTAATTTCGCCCACACTTCCCCGCGCGTCGTATGCTATGTACCGATATGTTTGTAATCACTAATACTGTAAGTAGGTAGGTCGTTAGATACTTATTTCATTAGGTTTATCATATTTATGCCTGTTTCTTAACGTCAAGCCAGTCGCTTCTTATTTTTATTACGGTTATTTCCCATTTTAATTTTACGTCGTCCTGTGGCGTAATGTATGTTATTCTGATCGTAAGCGGCACAACCTCCCCCTTCAAAGGCCAAAGCGAAGTGACCGGACCGGGCGGCAGGAATCACGCTTCAAGAGGCCGATAGTTTAGGTAATTTCTTTTTACAGTTAAAATAATGGTATTTAAAAAAAGTAAATAACATAAGCACTGCTTTATAGTTAGTTCAGTTAGTATGCAAAGTTTCATGATCTTATTTAAAGTATTTTATGAATAACAGCGGTTTATTGTTTATTTTAAAGGTAACTTTGGATTTTTTTTCTATCGAGAAAATTTTACGAAAGCGTGTTTTCGTCTAACATAATCCTTAACATTAATCCTCAACTTTACCATATATTTATTTCAAAATTAATGCTGCAATTTTTTTGGCATAACGAAGGATCTTGCTAAGCCATTTGAGATTATATTTCCCCTTAAAGTTTATTCTTTAATTTTTATCAAAAATGTATTGTTGTCGTATTACGTAACAATCACTTGATTAATTTAAGTGGTAATGCCCGAACTCAGCGTAGCTTGAGTCTCGAGAGCCGTTACTTTAATTGAAAATAATCTGTTACCCCCAGCAGCCTCGCAGTGCTTTCATCACGATTTTGTTACAATACTAGGCATAGACCTCGGCCCGAGTCCACGCGACCCCAGAGGCCCCGTTTCTAGTAGGGGAACGTCTTGGCGACGTCATCTCCGAGCAGAAGATGTCCTCTCCCGATCCCGTTTAGCAACCTACTTCGGGACCATTACGGTTACGGACAGAAGCTATATTACTAGTATAGCACCAGGTGAACTGTGCGCTCGCTTGTCACCCTTATCCTATAAAAAGAAACAAAAAACCTTAACCTCAACAGGTAGTCAATGTTCTCTTTGGAAGTTCTAGAGTGATAATTTTCCTTAAAGCTACTGTTTTCGTTAGTTTTGTATTTATTCAATGAGTCTTAGTTTTGTTTTGTTCCACGATGTTAATTTTACTAATTAATTTAAATCAGTCGTTCCGTTATGTAGCTATAAAAACAACTCCCAAGAAAATGTTTATATATGTGCCTCCAAGACCTTAAAAATCGGAATCAATGGTTCTAAACAGCACACCGTTTTAATATATATATATATATATATATATATATATATATATATATATATATATATATATATATATATATATATATATATATATATATATATACCTCACCGGCACGGAAACTTGGCCACTCGTGAATTTGCTGATTATTTGCACTGAAACGTTTTTTTAACAGTAAATTAAGGGTAGATGCATTCAATAAGTGTCTCTAATGGTTTTAGAACATAGAAATTTAATGTTTACTGCACCGAAATTTTTCTTTTCAAGATAACATATTTTCACTAAAATTAACATCTTTCCATTGTCACTTTAAAAACACTACAAAGTTAAAAATTAAGTCTGTTTCTTTATTGTCTATCAGTTTTAATATCGGGTGTTTCCTCCTCTAGCCCTGATAACCGCTTGCATTCGATCTGGCATGCTTTGAATGATGTTTCTGACATCAACTTGCGGTATGCTGTCCCAAGCGGCCAGCGCTGCATTTCGGAGCTCATTTAGAGTTTGTGACGGTTTGGAGCTGGACTTTATCTTTCTTTTGAGCATACCCCATACATGCTCAATTGGATTTAAGTCCGGGCTACGAGCTGGCCACTGTAATTTTTGTATTCCAACCTCTTCCAGATATTCCTCTACACAATGTGCGACGTGCGGGCGTGCATTATCGTGCATGAGGAGGAATTGGTCGTGTCCAATGAATCCCGAATAAGGCATTACGTGCTCCTGAAGAACTTCCTCGATGTATCGAGTAGCTGTAAGCCGATTATCGACGATGACCAACTCTGTACGTGCGTCGGAACTTACACCTCCCCATACCATTATTGAGCCTCCATGGAAACTCACAGTTTGGGTGGTGGTAATGGGTAGAAACCTCTCTCCTCTTTTTCTCCACACTCGTTCTCGACCGTCTGGAGCACGTAAAGCTATTCGACACTCATCTGTGAACAACACTCTAGCCCATTGCTCGTGGGTCCAATTGACATGTTCTCTTGCGAACTGAATACGGGCTACTCGGTGCTGTCTGAGAAGTTCTGGACCTCGTGCTGGTCTACGAGCTTTTAAATTCGCTTCCTCCATTCGTCTTCTCACCGTACGCTCATTAACATTAACGCCTCTTGCGATTTGGAGCCGCTGGCGTATCTCAACAGCGGTCAGGTAGCGGTTTCTCAAAATCTCCATAACAATAAAACGATCGTCCCGGGCCGATGTGCACCTTACGCCCCCACTGCCTGGCCTACGGGTGTAGCGGCCTGTCTCCTGGTATCGTTTCAGTGAATACTGCATTGAGGACCGTGGTACGTTAAGCACAATAGCAACTTCACGCTGTGTCAGCCCTTGGTCAATTAATGCTACTGCTTGTGCAACTTGTGCTGGTGTTAATGGCATTTTTATTGGCTTTAAAGCACCTTTAGTTATTTAATTAAGACACAAGATCACAATAATTGAATAACCTTACAGTAAACTTTTCACAACACACAAATTTAAAATGTGAACTTAGTCGCTCAAATGACCCGATTCAACTAAAAATTAAAGAATTCGTCATGGTACACTTAAACATAATGCATTACCCTCTTGAACTTGAGGGTAAACATTTTTTGACATACTTGCATAACAAACATTCATCAGAAACACTTAAAGCTTTTGCTATCGCGAGATAACCGCTTGGCCAAGTTTCCGTGCCGGTGAGTGTATATATATAGTGTCACGTTGTTTGTCCTCCGCGATGGACTCCTAAACTACTTAACCGATTTTAATCAAATTTGCACACCGTGTGCAGTTTGGTCCAACTTGAAAGATAGGATAGTTTTTTGCCCATGAGTGACCCACAATTTTTTTTTTGCGAATTTAAGAATTTTTAATCAAGTGTCGTCGAAAAGGGCAGAACAACGTCTGCCTGGCAAGCTAGTATATGTTTATGTATTGATCATTCATATCAAATATGAATATAATAAAACTTAGAAATTGCGATAAATCAAAATTTTGAATAAGGGATTTTTGATGATTTAATAATAGATTTGTATATTTATACGAAATGCTTTTCCTTTTATTGTTAATTTAAAAATTTATACCAAGCTAAGTTAAACGTCTCCAGGTGATTATTCCGTAACCACTATGATGTAGAAATCATTCTCATTATGACAATTTTACACACACGACCTCTTACCGTACAAATACTATTTTAACGTTTTATTTCAACATAATCTGTCGCTTTGTCACCATAAATTTATATGATACCCTAAAAATTAATTAATTATGTTAAATAAAAATATTTAATTTTTACTTACATTTTTATTTAAAAAAAGTCACAATGATGCTTTAGCACCTCGAACTTCAGCTGAATTGAATCGAATATCATTTCTGAAAAAATAACTGTCACCATAAAAATGTACTACGCCGTTATATTCTATTCATATACAGTCAATTCAACTGATCATTCCAACTGATCAGTTCAAATTAAAACTGTTGATAGTTTTTAAAATATCGGATTTTCGATATATCTATAAATAAACTTATACTTAAAACTCCGATATTAATATATTTATAACGATAGATATATCGAAAATCCACTATTTAAAAAATATCAACAATTTTAATTTGAACTGATCAGTTGGAATGATCAGTTGAACTGACCGTGTACGACGACCATAAGTCTATGATTAAAATGCTCTACCATAATGACATCACAAATATGGCAACCACTTACCTATGTGGTCACGCTCACGTGATTATTTTTGATTAATTGAATTAATTAGTTACCTATACCAACATAATTTAAAAAAAAATTGCATCGATTATCAATGTCAATAGTGATAAATTATTTAAATACAATTAAAAAAATTGATAATTAATTTTCATTAAAAAAACCCAACTCTTGAATACAGGAATCGGGGTGAAATAAACGAGGTTATATGCGATGAAGAAACCGGTCGGATGTTTGCACAGCAGCGAGCGGTGGTGAGAAACTTGCTGCAGTTTGTTGCAGCGACGGCGAGCGTTCCGAGCGCATTGCTCTGCTCACCGCGCAGCCTAGCCGCGGACTCCCTGCACCTCAATGCACCTCCCAGACCTTTAAATGTAATTATTTATCAATCGCATTTAATCCCTGTAAAAACCTTTTCACTCTGGAATTATCAAAGTTTTTAATCATGTAAATAATTGGAATGCTGGAAACTTTTTTAGCATTGTTACGCCAAACGCATGTTGCTAAATGCATAATGTACTCGTAATACGATAATGATGTCAAGTTATTGGCGTTGTCAGTACTTAAAATAAAGATTTTAATAGTTACTTTGCAACCATCTGCTAAATAAAATAAAATGATGTCTCTTACCTAGTTTGAAGAGCACCTCCCGCCCTCTCTCAGTTGCGTGCACTAATCCTGTCACCGACAATCCCAGCACCACTACTCCCAACACCTCTATTCTAGAAAAGACACACCATCGACGATAATACGACACGTGTTTCGCCTCTACACGAGGCATCTTCAGGTGATGTAGACTCTACGGCGGCTGACCGCTAAGTACTTACTTACACATCATTTTATTTAATGTAGCGGATGGTTGCAAAGTAACTATTAATATCTTTATTATAATGGATTTCCACAAAGTAACGGCTGAGTCTATCTATTATTTTTTTAAATGTTTATTTGAATTTTGAAACACGTGGATTATTTGCAACATAACGCTTCTAAGTTTTATATGGTACAGATACACTACTAATATAGATAATAAGGAGACATTAGGAAGAAATTTATTAAATATACAAAAAATTATAAGAATTTACCTTAAAACAATTGAATAATGAATTGAGAAAGCAAATCAAATTAAATTTCCACAATGCACTTCATGTAAACTGAATGCTCATTAAACAGTCTAGGAATGCCGCAAGCGAGGGGTCTGTCTCGAGCGGGCCTCCAACGCGTACCCCTCGCTCTTTCCTCTCGTTTCCGGGTCGACGACCGCGTGCCGCGACCTTGCCGCCCGGCTCCCGGCCCTTTCCCCACGTTAAATTTACATATTTTAGGTAAGCACTTACAGCGGATAATGCTTCGTTGAATAAATTTAATGAAGAATTAATAGGATACGTCGTTGGAGCCGGCGAGCAAGCGGCCCGGTGAGTCATGAGAGACCAGTGCGGATGGCTTCGTCCTGGAGCCACATCTACGTTTACGTTTTCCGAGGCCGCCGACAAATGAACGGAACGCACCTCTGCTGTCGGCTCGACTCGCCTCGCCTCGCATGCCTTTACCGACTAATGTTTTGTGTGTCGCGCCCGCGCTTCTATGAATATCTTTAGATAAAAAATAGAATATCTATAAATATTTTATATTATTATTTGTTACATAGTACATACTAGACAAAGTTATCACGTTAAAGTAAACAGAACCGGTTATGACGGAACAACGCACGCCTGTGAATCATTTGAAACCTGTGGCTAGTTACTGGCATCTTGGATTCGTATTTTACTTTTTGTATTGCGTTTTATTTGAATACATAGATACACTATTGTTTAGGTCGAGATTCAACATGCGAACGTTTATCAGATTATAATTTTTTAATGAATCAAGCAGATCTCAACGTTCTAAATACATTAAATTCCACTTGACGGTTCGGTAGAGCAGTAGTAAAGCCTTTGGCTTAAACGCTGCGGGTCACGTATTCGAATTTTTTTATAAGAAGTGAAAAAAAAAACAGAATAAACCAAATAATAACGTCGCTTACGTACGTACATGCCATGAATGTACTAAATCATTAATTAATTTTGCGTAACGCGTCAATGACCTTTCTAAGTAAAATTGCGAACATGCGCATTTCACGAACATGTAATGAAAAGATTGGTCTATTGGTTCGTTAGTGTGGGGCCCGCACCACTAGTGGCTACGTGTGCTTATGACTTTCTTATCGTAAACTTTGAAGGCGTCTCACGCCCTTGTTGCGTACTACACACCTTGTGGGAACAGGTTCTCTGGTAGTACGCGCCGATCCATCATATTGTCGCTTTTTAACATTTCTCACTATGGTCCCACACGTGGAAAGATGTGAATGAATTTTTCAAAGTTGTCATCGCCATCAAATTCATTCAAGTAGTAATCGATCAAAATTTTCATTCAAGAATTTTAATTTAAGAATTGTTGCAAAAAAAGAAGTTTTGAATCATTTTCCTTCGAAGATCGCGACAACTATACACAAAGCCTTTCACCAAGGTTTTTACTTCCCAGTAAATATAAAAAAATATAAAAACATGCACGACGAAAATGAGTGCGCGAAAAAGTGTCATTGGTTATTTTCAGGTGCAGTTTTTTACTTTATAAATACATCTCTTCGAAAATCTCTCAAAATATTACTTTTACACGGTTATCCACTGTATGATTATATGTCTTCCCCTTAGAATTTTTATTCTGTGCACTTGCAAGGAAGTATTATACTAACCAGCTGTTAACGAGATTATACAAGAACGCAAATCCCGATTGATTATTTTTATTCTGTGCAACTCAAGTGAAGAACTTAGTATTTAAGGATTATTTTATTCCTAACTATGCAAGTGAAGTATTTATACTTAGTATGAAATCCTATAGCTAAATCATGGCGGAAATCCCGGTGAAGTAGTTGATTATTTTTTTTCGGGGAACCACAATTGTGTGAACATAACGGTCGAATTATTTTTTAGCTGCCAGTTTGACGATTGAATAACTGGGCGGCCGGCTGAGTAACGGATGTTTGCGTCGAGCCTCAACCAAAGTGACTATTTTATATGACATGTAAATTTTCAGCCAACGTCTGAAATTTATCTGGTTTTTTTTATGAGAGCCTCAATGCAAATGACGAATTTTTCGGATCTTTGCGTGGTCATAGTGAAACAGGATTTTCTTTTTCTGCTAATGTGGCCTTTTTTCCCCGCAATATCTGCCTTCAGTTTGTCAAGTAATGATGTGTAGTATGCTCATGTAATGGTATCTCCATGAGTATCCGAAAAAACAGTCGCCATCACTTTACCAGCCGAAAAAACAGTTTTTGCTTTTTTGGAACCCGTTGCCCCTTTGCAGTCCACTGTTTGGCTGTATTTTTGTTTCAGACGTGTACGTACGTGTAATGGTGTATCCAAGTTTCATATAAAGTAATTAATTGGCGTCAAGACTCGGATTTATTGCGCCCAAATTGCGCTAACAGAACGTTGGAAGTGTTCATTCGAAGTTCGAACATGATTTTCGTCTAATGTGAGCAAACGCGGCACCCAATGCGCTGACAGCTTTCTCATGCTTCAATCCTGGTTTAATATGTGACAGACACGTTTTTTGGACATTCTCATATGCCTCTGCTATGACTCTCACTTTAATTCGGCGGTCGTCTAGCACCAAACTATAATAACTGATTAACAATTAAAGTGAAAATGCTTTTTAACGCCTGGACGTTAAGATTGAATGCCCCGTCTCCAGCATAGAGGCTATTGGGTTCTCATCACTTATACGGTACACAGCAGCTTAATGTTGCTATAAGAGTTCATGCTCAAACTTTGATACAATATAATTTATGGGGTGAGCACGCTGTGTGCTGTCGGCGGCGTATAAGAACCCATCACTGCATTTCGTCTTGTGAGTATTGTAAAAGGCGCCTATAGGTGAGGATAGATCTTTTTAACCTCTTCCCCATGGCCTGATGTAGATGGCAGTATAATTCTCATGTATACCAAATCTAAAATACCTATACCGACAGCTACAACTTTTTTTAATAGAAATATGGAGGATTAACATATAGTTCATCTGAAAGTCCATGTAACCATAGACCATAGTGTTGATGGAAATGTATCCGCATTTTGATGATTCGTTGTCCACCCTGAAGACTTAGATGGAATGCCTTGTTATAACGTATATCGTTAAAATGAGGCATTTTCTGCTCCAGTCTCCGCCACGAAGTCAAAAGTCGAAAACATATAAAAAAACATTGCCGGAATATACTGCTATTTGAAACTGGCATTCAAGGTGCGAAACATCCGGATAATGCGATGATGGAAACGCCCGTATGTCGTGGACACCTATTGAGTGGTCAGGAAGAAAACAAGTATGGGATGAATAAATTCTCTGTACTGTATATTGAATTTATTCTGAAGTAAGGCCACAATTTATTAAAATACTACTTATATTTTCAGACTAAAAAAATAGTATTAGATTCGAGTCAAATTTATTATATTAGTAATGCAAAGAATGCTTGGACCTAGGTCCAAGCATTCCTAGCTCGACCTAGCTAGCTAGCGAGAATATATGTTGCATGTTTTTTTTTTTTAATTTTATACATTTGCACATTTTGAAAACAGAGTTGACAGAAGCAAAAGATTGACGAGTATTGAAATATATATGTAGATTTAGGTAACACGTGCTACCATTTCTTCAAGAATTGAGGTTGTTGACAAAATACTAATGCAATGCTCACTGTTTTAGCAATCCTGGCAGCTTTTACTATAATAATGAGTACCTACTCGGCACATATTTATCTATGTTGAGTTAACAGAAATTGTTATAAACAAAATATTTAACATATAATTGTATTTAGTTTGGTAGTTACAATATGTGATAACTGATAATGTTAAAAATATTTCTTTAGCCTTCTACACGATTTTTTTATAAGCAATATGCGGCTCATCTCTACACTTCAATATAAATAATTTCTAAAAACTTTTAATGATTAAGTAATAATTATATTTACTCTAACTTGTAAATAAATATAAAAATATTTATATAAAATATTTTACTATATAAACTACAGCTTTAAAACTTAAATGTAGGCATTAGGCCTCCATTACCTTAACATCTGAGCGGCATGCATAAATACACTGCGACGCTGTGGAATTGGTTAGCGGCTCCGAATCCGAAGTTCGGAGGCAAGTCACGCGCCACGTCCGCACTACTTTTATTACATTCCCTGAGTAAATATTCCCGGCGGAAAGCCCCTAATCTTAAAAGACCTCGAACATCTTGTATACTTAATTTCTTCATTTATATCATACAAAAATATACATATATACTTATATCTAACATTACGCGGTTTATCCCTCTTTATTACGGTACGAAGAATAGTATGCGCGAAAAAGGGTTCTAACTGTGACAAATCGCTGTTCGACCATAATACGACCTCTGATATGACCTTATTTGGCCGCTTGTAGGAACATAGAACAATTTGTATATAGTTTTCTTAGAAAATTAATTTTATGCGATTATAATAATATGTTCTGAAACCATAATTTTATTTGATTACTGAATATTTCTTGTCTACATACACATCTTCGTTGGTGCCGCACGCATGTGGTAACGAACCAAGCGCAAGTCATAACCTAAACTAATTCCCGACGTTTCGGGTGCTTTACAGCACGGTCACGGGGAGGACTGAGATGTTTGACGTCCCAATGTCATAGTTAGCCCAGCTATCTCCAGTTTTTTAACATTAATTTTTCGGTCCGATTTACGCAAAACGAGCTTACAGTATCTTGAAGTCTTGCAGTGGTATGCTTGGGTTTGGGTTTAATTTTGTTAATTATACGATCCCAAGCAGATGGCAGCACCCATCCATCCTTTCTATTGAAATCATTCTTGGTAGGAATCAGTGTTCTTTTGCGAAGATTTGTGGTTTATCAAATCTGAAGTAATGGTGGGGACGATCTTGAACATGTTTAGAGACTGCAGACTTCCCGGAGCGTCGGTGCTTCACGTCAGTTATATGTTCTTTCACGCGGATTTTTATCGATCTTTTTGTTTGACTTATGTAAGAGAGACCACATTCACAATCTAACTTGTACACTCCTGCATCTTGTAGAGGGACATTACACTTGACGGATGGTAAAAATTGACTAATGCGGCTTGTAGTATGTTTTAATGGAAGCTCGCTTTAAGATGTAGCCAACTTTGTCTGTGACTCCTCTAACATATGGTAGTACAGCAGGCACACGCTCGACTGTGGTCGGCTTCACTCGGTCACTGTGACGTAGGCGCGGGACCCGAAGCTTGTTGTTTTGCAATACTTGCTTGACGTGCTGAAGCTCGGCGGCCAGATGTTTTCTGTTACAGATCCCTCGTGCTCTCTGAAACAACGTCAAACATCTCAGTCCCCCCGTGACCATGGGTGCTGTAAAGCACCCGAAACGTCGGGAATTAAAAATAAGTAAAATCAGTTAAATAAACGCGATAAAATCCGTAAATTTCACTTTACTTTTTCTAATTTCTTTTTCTTTCTTGCTTTAGAACTGGAAACTGTAACTGGTTCCGAACGAATTGCAGCCAGTGTTGTCATCTGCGAGGACTGTTTGGGTCCTGCAAGTCTCGGGCCTCGGGGTATGCCCCCATTACCCGGGCTATCCTCGCGGCCCACTACTATGGGCCGGCACGAATTGCAAGTTAAGTTAAGTTGATGTCATCTACACGCACCTAGGTACGTGCAGGTATCGGGCCTCGGGGTATACCCCATTGCCCGGATATCCTCATACCCCATAATTATGGGGCAGTCACTTTTTGCCGATCTTGGCATGGCTATGCTACATTAATAATGTAGCCGGATAAGAAATTACTTTCCGTAGTTCACCGACTACGGAAAGGGAGGTAATCTATAGAGGTAACACGAATTGCAAATTGGGCGACTTACTAACCTACCCCGGTAGCTATACTGTAAGGAGAACCGTGCGCCAAACGCCATTTCGATTCAAGCTAATCGATAATTTTTACTATCACATTTCCATTTGTCGCCCCATATCTTTATTGCCCATAACAATATCTTAAAACAATTATATTTCACATTAAGTACAAAAAAGATATGTTACAAACACAATTAAAACATTAACATCACATAAAGAATTAATAAAATATTAAACAAAATATATATTTTACAAGTAATTTCTGAGGGTCACAATTCTTAAATGTCGAATATAAACTTAAAGGTCGCTGCATACAGGACGGTATCAGCTCGTACACGGAATGGAGACGAACGTGGTTGTATGTCAATTGTCAACACGGACGGGAGTTTTATGTATACGCACCGTGACAGTGACTCGAACTCGACTAATATGTTAGCGTTCTGAAATGATTTGGATGGATTTTTCATTTAAAGAATTTCCATTTATTACTATTGTTTTAGATGTTGAACAAGCTACAACCGCCAAGAAAAGAACAAGAAGGTGAACGTGACGTGGCTAGCGCCGGGTGGGACAGGGTAAACATCGTCGCCAACGATATTTTTCCCGTCCCATTCGTGCCACATCTCCGTTCCGTGCGCGCATCCGTAACGTATGCATTCACGTACATTTTCTATGAAACGATATTTCCAAAATTTCGCGTCCCGCTCCGTCCGGAATAAAACACGTTACGTATGCAGCGAACTTTATTAATACAATTTCTAGCATTAGTCTCAGACAATACAACAATTTAATTCAAGAATTAAAACATTTGTCATCAAAAAACGAAAATATACTTTCTTACATGTTGTGTCATTTACCATTAAAACTAGAATTAAATGCTTTTTACACATTTCTTGTCTTATTATTTTATAAAACCTTTCTGAAAGGTTTATTACATATATTGTCACATTTTTCGTGATGAAAGATATCACTTTAAACTATTAAATTTTTATATTTTAATACTATTTTTCAACAATGCTATTTACTCATGTGAGTTGACAAACTTATTTCCACACGACTCTCAAAAACGTATAGGGGGCTGTTGCCATCCCTTTCCTACATTTATATCTATCTTTGTCTAATATATACATATACTATTTTATTCTAGCATCTAGCTGTCTTTATCTAACTTATTATCGTATCTCTTATCACTTATCACTTATCATAAAACACAAGCTTTTAAATTAAATAAACATTTAATTCTTTATTCGTAATGCATAGCCGATCGCTATGTAATGCATGATTCCAAGTTAATTCAAAATATATTTATCTTTCATAAATTAGCATTTTATAAAATTAATATAAACTTGATATTATTATAACAAAAATAATTAATTTTGAAGAGATATTATCTCCCGTCCCCAACAATGGGCATACAATTTGACAGCATTTTTTAGTCTTCGTAATAATTAATAGATACTATACCAAATAATTCTTTTCAACCTAGTCTTTCAATAAATCTAAAAGATAATTTTGTTCCGCTTCTTAGCTGTGTAAGTAATTAGGTTGTTAAACTAGACTAGGTAAGTAATTAGGTTGTTTAATATACGATTTTGTAGCAGCGAAGTGGTTGGAGTTTAATCGTGTCGTAAACTTATTGTTTCAAAAATTTGCCTCTAATAACATTTCTAATGAATAATGACGACTTATAAAAAATCGATCGCTTTTATCAACACACCTATCAAAATATCATTAATGTAAAACAAAATATAAATTATTTCACCAAACACGTTTTGTTCTTGTTTAAAGATTTTTCATTAAAATGAGATTTTTTAATCTTTATTACATTATATACATTTTCCCCTGTACCTTTATTACGAGGGGGCACTGAAAGTTTTTAGAAAATCAAAAACTGAACAAACTAGCAAGTTATTAGTTATAGCTCTTCAAAATAGTGTCCATTTACATAAATACATCGCTGCATCCGATGGAACCAGTGAGAAAAGCACTTTGCCCACTCGTCCTTAGGGGTCTCTTCGACGGCATTTGAAACGCAGCCACTGCTTCCTCGGCGTCCATAAAAGGTTTTCCTCGAAGTTTTTCTTTTATTTTCGGAAATAAATAAAAATCGCAAGGTGCGAGGTCGGGGCTATAGGGTGTAGGTGTAGGCTATAGGGTGTATATGTAGTCGATTTTTTGCTTGGCGGTGTGCGACGAGGCGTTTTCGTGGTTAAGGAGGATCCTACTGCGAGATCGTTTCTCCCGTACTTTTTCCAAGACAAGTGGCAATCAATTGTTAGCGTACCACTCTGCAGTAACTGTTTTTCGATCCTCTAAAACAATTGTTGCGTGATGACCTGTCCTTTTGAAGAACGAGGCCACCATCTTTTTTTACACGCTTCGACCTCTCTTCACTTTAGTTGGAAACTCCTCGGTAGGAAACACCCGGACAGCAGACTGTCTCTTAGTTTTAGGATCATAACAATAAATCCAGCTTTCGTCACCCGTAAGTATGTCGAACACAGCATTTGAATTATCTCTGTTAAATCTTTGAAGCTTTTCACGACACCAATCAACACGACGGAGTTTTTGGTCCTCTGTCAAATTATGAGGTATCTACCGGGCACAAAGCTTCCTGACCGCTAAATGTTCGTGTAGGAGGATTTTGTGCACTTGACTCATACTGATGCCTAAGCTTGTCCGAATCTGCTGATAAGTCACTATTTTGTCAGTCTCTATCATACGCTGCACAACATTGATGTGACACTTTGTAATACCTAACAGCTAATTGAAGTATTTTAAACTTATCTAGTGAGGTTAAAGTTGGTTTTCGTAAATTACAAGGTTATTATCGCTCAACCGTATTGAGAATACGACGTAATTACAACATTAATAATAAGTTTCTTATAATAATTAATCTGGCAAGTTTTGTACTCAAATGTCATCGTTCATGATCATGATGATTTATGTAAATATAGAATTGATATTTTCGTAATGTACTTAATGTGTACAGCGACCTATGGAAATGCCAGCAACACGTAAGCGACCATTCCGTCCATACTCTGCACAGGGGACTGTCTATAATACCTATGGTAAATAAATATTTGTTAAAAGACCCGTGTCCTGTTACTTATATCACTTATTGCTATTAGACATGGAACGAGTAGTGGTTCGCCGAGTACTCGGCCGAATACTCGGCTTAAAAAAAACGCGGTAGTGGGCGATGCGCGGTTATTTCCCTTACACAGAGTTATGGATGAAACGATACGAGTAAATACAAGTACTTACGCCTGTGTTATAAAAAGAAAAACACCGAATTTGGACAAGACCATGAATGTTGAGAAGATTTGCTACAAACACAGTTTTTAATGAATTAGAAGTAGAAGATCATGCTGAATTCAGAATGCTTCTGAGAATGGATGTACAACATTTTGACATATTATTAGAAAATATTACTCCATTGCTACAAAGCGAATATACAGTTATGAGAGAAGCTATATCTGCAAAGACTAAACTACAAATAGCATTATGCTATTTGGTAACTGGGACGAGCTACCGTTATTTGCAGGCTTTTTACAGAGTTTCTCGGGCTGCAATATCATCACTCATACCGGAAGTCATGGATGCAATAGTTAGTTATTTGGAAAATTATTTAAAGGTAATAGTAATTTCTTAAGCACTACAAATAAAACTTTTATTGAATTATATACTGTTTATTAAGAAAAAAATTAAAAATTAAACGTGTCTTCCATCTGCCTCCAAAGCTGCAAACATCGCAGCTGCCACAATATCATTAGTGCTGACAGAATTTGGCGTAGCGTTCATATTATGTACTGGAGGAGATGTCAGCTAAGACTGATTGCGATGTAGACGTCGTGGGAGCTAGTATTGGTGTAGAAGAAGATGGTGCAGCAAATTGATTGGTGTAGCTCGTGAGCATTGATGTGCGTTGAGACGGGATATGTGAAGGAGAAGTGCAGATCTAGACGTCGTGGGAGCTAGTATTGGTGAAGGAAAAGATGGTGCAGCAAACATTGATTGTGTTTTAGACGCCATGGGAGCTAGTATTGGTGAAGGAGAAAATGGTGCAGCAAAGATTGATTGCGTTATAGACGTCATGGGAGCTAGTATTGGTGTAGAAGAAGATGGTGCAGCAAAGATTGATTGCGTTGTAGACGTCACGTGAGTTGGTACTGGGGGTTGTGGCGGAGATTCCACATAAGTTTTGTCAAATTGATAAAAGTCGTTAGTTGTATCTGAATATACAGAAGGAGGCATTTGGTAGCTGTGATTAGACGAAGAAGAATGTGATGGCGTTCTTTGTCTAAGTTCTTTAATCCCATATTCGGTCAGAATATTTTGAATTTTGCTTTGTGCTAATAAAGCATTCTCTGCCGATAAATTTTTAAGTTGCAATGCGACTCTCCTTCCAAACACATCAAATACAGTTTCATGCTCATTAATACCTTCATTTAACTTTTTAAGATCAGACACAGCTTGTAAAATTTCACTGGTCCTCTTTATATAATACTCGTAGCTCTCGCAGTATTTCCAGTGTTGCTAGTAGTTGCTGTGGTAGTAGTTGTAGTTACATTAAGTGGTACTTGCTTGCTTTAGGTTGTTGAATGTATTAGGCTGGTACTTTCTGGTGGTTGTGTGAGTGTCTGTCCTGAGGACCAGTGTCTTCATTAATGGGACTTTGAATCTGTGGAAAATGAAAACAAATTATTATTTCAGGTACTGCAGAACAATAAATAATGGAAAGAAATAGAACGAGGCTTTAGAACTAGGTGGAATTTTCCTGGTTGCCACGGCGCTATTAACGAGAAGCATGTGATAACTGAAACACCACCGAATATATTAGATTCATATATTAGAATTGTGGAAGTAAATATTTTAATTACAAGGGTTCCAACAGTGTGGTTTTGATGGCTGTGGTTGATCATGACTATTGTTTTCGCTATGTTAATATTGGGGCAAATGGAAGAAACTCAGATGAGGGGATTTTCAAAAACAGCAAATTACGTAGTGATCTTGAGAAAAATTTGTTACCAAAAGGAGGATTTTTAGTTGGAGATGGTGCGTTTCCACTAAAAACATATTTATTAAAACCATACAGTGGCACAAATCTTTCAACAAAATAAAAAATATTCAACTACAGACTACAGAACCTCTAGAGCACGGAGAGTCGTCGAGAATGCATTTGGTATTCGGGCAAGCAGGTTTAGAATTTTTCAAAAGCCAACTAATGACGAAACCACCGATAAAATTATTCGCACATCATGTGCTTTGCATAATTGGTTACGTCTCACAAGTCCCGGTTATTACTTTCCAAGGGGCTGTGTTGATGAAGAAGATATATATTCGGGATCCATTGCTGAATGGACTTGGAGAAGAGAACTTACAGCTACTTTGCCAACTATCACTGATCATAATACCAACATTGCAGCAGGTATAGCAAGATAGCTTCGAGATAAATACGCAGGTCTTTAGTGGGGTAGGTGCCGTTTATTATTATTATTATTAAAGTCTCTAAGATCCTTATGCAGCCTTTGGCAGCCATACATACCAGTCTGGTATCGCTAAAGCTTCTTTATAGTGGTGGCTTCATTTGTTTTGGTCTACCATACGAGGTGATCATTGGCTTCGTTAGCCGGCTTCACTAAAAAATGATCTGCGGTTCCCTTCGCTCACTGTATACCAGCAGTACATACTTAATTTTATAATAAAATATAAATAATAATTTATTTAACCCTGCAGGCCATCCCTGGAACTTCCCGCTAATTTCAAATGCAAAGCGCTCCAAATTTTAATTTTTGAGTAATCTCAAAATATACTCTTCCGAATCAGTTCATATTATCACCAAATCTATTCCAGATTGAGATCTTAAGAACGCCGCAAAACAAATCTCAATCGATCAAGACGTTCGAAAGTTATAATGGGTTTACACACACACACACACACACACACGTACACGCGCACACGCACACACGCACACACACACACACACACACACACACACACACACACACACACACCCCCATCACACACACGCCACACACACACACACACACACACACACACACACACACACACACACACACACACACACACACACACACACACACACACACACACACACACACACACACACACACACACCTTCCCTATTTTTTAAAATTCTCAATTTTCTTAGCGGGAAGTTAAAAAAATTTACTTTGTTATTTATTATGTAAAAAGAGTACACTATAAAAAAGAGTATTTGGTATAATATGTAATTTGAGTAGATCATAATATTATTGTGAGTCGTTGTAAAATATTGTTTCGTTTCACTGTAGCAAGATTCAATGCCGGTTTCTGAAGTTTGTTCGGTTAACGGTTTTTTTATTTACAATCTTAGCGCTCAATCGGCCGCGCCGTGTTGTAAAAAAAATGCGTAGGTAATTTATATTTGTCGTACGTAGCTTGCGGTATGAATGAACAGTTACAATAACAAGAGGGCGCACCATGTGAGGCGACCATTCATATCTTCATTCAGAGACCGGAAACATAAATCAGCGTAGCCGCGACGTTACGCGGCCCTGGATAATGCCGCATATCTGCAACTTTACGTTTGTATCTTTGAACGTTATCGTTAAGATACGATCCTCATTTACTTGTGATGTTGTTCTAAGGCTTATATGTTTGTGCCTCAGATCATAGAACTGTTGTTTCTATGTCTATATGTCTGAGGTTTGTGCCTTTGGTTTATTATTTAGTTTTTATTTCATTTGCTTTAAGTAGGTGTTGATAATTATAATAATAATTCAAGTTTTTAATTTTAGTTGTTTTTTTTTATTTATAAAAGTATTTATACAATACAATAATATTTGTGCCGGACGGGCGAAACTCTCCGGAGTAAATGTTGTCGAAGATACTTCGCGAGTCGCTCACGTCCTTCACCTATAGATTCCGGAGGATACTTCCACTGCCGTCTTTGTGGGTGCCGCTGAGTTATTGTAGACTGAGGTTCAAATCAAAATGCACGATTAATAAATACAAATAGCAAGGTAGTGGCCAGCGGTTCGACTGATTGATTAGTCGCGAAATTTTATAACTATTTTTATTGACCGCGGTTGTTGAACTACGGTTGTTAACTGTTGGTTGGTCACTGTATATATATCAAAAGATTTCTTTAAAATTGTACGGTAGTATCAAATATCTATTGGTAGTAGCTGGTTTTCTAACACTACTGACTAGCAGCTATTATCAACTAAACTAGCTGATTTTATCACTTGTGTAACTGCGGATATTTACCACTTTCACTATATGTAACTGCGAATATCAGTTACGACCTTTTTCGGCTAGCTAACACTTTCACTATATGTAACTGCGAATATCAGTTACGACCTTTTTCTGCTAGCTAACACTTTCACTATATGTAACTGCGAATATCAGTTACGACCTTTTTCGGCTAGCTAACACTTTCACTATATGTAACTGCGAATGTCAGTTACGACCTTTTTCGGCTAGCTAACACTTTCACTATTCACTATATACTGCTGCTAGTCACTTCAGCTACTACCGGATACCACTGCTTGTCACTGGTAGTTCTTTACACTACTACTGGTACTGGGTCTCGAGCCCCTAAGGTAGACTTTGGCTATACTTTACAGTGAGCCGCTTGCCATTTTCCGTTTTGCCTCTTTATTGCATAAACTTTTCACTATGCAAATGGCATAAATTACAATCTTTTCTATACAAAACTAATTGCTACACTAACATGCTATACATCAACAAATCGGTAGTCTGGTACTTTATTAGTATATCATAAAGGTTACTCAAAACATTAACATTGTAAAAAGTTATTAAATGAAATGTCCCAAATTTTCATAATATTTGGGTACATTAATTCTTTGATTTTTCTATAACTACGAAATGCGTTTAATTATACAAAATATTCTTACACTTCCTTAATCTATAAGCCATATACTAATTCAATGTCATATTTACAACTCTTTTAGAACATAAAATTGTTTTATTATTTTTAGTATGAACTATTACGCAGTTAATTAAAAAACTTCTAGAGAGTTCTACAATAAGACGCGCCGTGATTGGTCGATTTTTCTTAATATAATAAAAGTTGTTTATATCACTTGTTATCAAAACGACATTCTATACAAATATACTAAGAGTTATGAACATGCTACACAACTATATTAATACACGTTTTCATCCATTTTTGTCGGTAATTTCACTATTAATACAAAAAATAATATTCTTTATCATTTTGTTTCTTAGCGTTGTTACGCCGTCGCGAACAATAATATACAATAGTATATTCGAATTTCATGTTTCTTTCTATTAAGAATAACACAGCTACTCTTATTAAACTTAACTTGGCCACCATTATTAATAATCTGACTTACTGACAACAGGTTTGTAGCTAGTTCAGGTACATATAATACATTTGTAAACAATATATCATTTTGTTGGCCTCTTCCATCATAAACACTCAAGCTAATTTTTTCAGAGCTTAGGACAGACAGTGTTTTATTATTTGCAACTTTAATGTTTTTAATGTGTGGAGTTGTTTCTTCTATAAACAAATTATTGTGTTTGGTCATGTGTACAGAAGCACCAGAATCAACATACGAGGCATCGGAGTATTCAAAAGAAGCTATAAAGACGGCAGCATAAGACATACTGTTTTGTTTATTTGTATTCTTTTGATCCTTATTGGATTTTGATGATTTGCACTCAGGACTTTTATGCCCATATTTGTTGCACCTATAGCAGCGAGGGCCTTTAGAAAATCTTTTATTTTTGTTTTGGAACTTCTGCCTTGTGCAAGAGCTGAATAATCACTTTCATTTTGTTTAACATCTTGTAATAATTTTGATTTCACTGAGTCAGAGGAAATCTTCATACCTGAGCTGTCAATGGCCATTATCATTGGCTTGTCTCTCATCGTTCACATTAAAGCCAATGTTCTTTAACTTATGAGCTGTTGTCATTATTTTACTGACATACTCCTCTACATTTAAACATCCAGCTAGTGTAGTATTGCATAAGTCACGTAGCAGACCAACTCGGCGTGTTAGCCCGGAGTCGTCGAAAGCGTGAGATAAATTTTCCCAAACTTCTTTCGAAGTGCGTAATTCTTGAATATGAACATAGTTAACAGGATCGACAAGCAGTATTATTTTCGATCTGGCTTTAGTGTCACGCTTTGTGTCAATTGCGCTTGAATTTACACATTCCACGCAATCCCATAATTCCTCATGTTGCAAGTACGTTTTAACAGCAAAACGCCATGTGGCATAGTTATAACGGCCGGTTAATTTCTCAATTAATGCCAATCGATTACTTGATGACATGCTCAATTCTAAATAAAACTCAAAATTTATTCTGAAAACTGAGCACGTTGCCTTTGTAGGTTAGGTCTTTTACAAAACTGTTTTTGACACTGATTTAGTAGACTTTATGCACTGATTTTATTTATCGGGCTTTCTGGGCCCATAACCTGTTATTATTAAATGAAAATAATATCCTTTTCTAATGGCCCGGCCACACTAAGGAGAAATGCCGTTAATTATCGCGTTGATGGACGTTGAATGTAGGTGTGGCCACGAATTATCGCGACAATTTGACAACGGCATTAACAATGCCGTTTCCCGTTTGCCGATAACTCGAGTGGCGGTACATCAAAGGATTAACGCGCGAATTATCGCGTTGAAGCGGCCACACTACGTTTGTTTCATTGTACACGGTGAGTGCCACGAGGTTGCACGTATGGCTGCGATGGAGTGGAGTAACGAAAAAGCTTTTCGAGATTGAATTAAAAAAATTACTTCAAACGTACTTTAATTTACGGTATGAAACTAAGAAAAATAAGCAGGAGAAAAAAAACCATTTTTGTAGGTCCAAATTCATAGTGTACAGTGGTACGAAACCCTGGGTACGTGTATCTAATTCGCACTTAACCAGTATTTATGATTGGCTTATTAGTTATTATTTCATTAAAATATATTTACGTTTGTCTTACTATTTAGCTTAAACCATTGGACGTCTTTCTAGTGCAATTTGGGCGCGGGAAAACAAAATAAAACATAAATAGATTTACAGTGTACAGTTTCCTGTGCATTTGTAGCATCCACCATCTGCTTTTTCTTTGTATTCTTTTTTTGTTTGTTTATTTTTTTATTTTAAAGGATAGGGTGACCAACAAGCACACAGTCCACCTGATGGTATGTGGATGCTGTAGCCCATTGACATCTATCAGTGAGGACTAGGATGGAATGCCTCGTTTCCAGTAAAAAGGGTCTCCGGTTCTCTACACTCACCATATGAAACACAGCAGCATTAAGCTACTATTTTACGCTGGTATTCTGTGAGAGCGTGGTCCTTCCCCGGTCGAAACATTTAACACGGTTCAACGGCAAATTTAACGCCGTTCAACGGAAAATTTAATGCCGTTCAACGGG